GTTGTATTATTACAAATGGATTAGTTGTACCTAATTATTCATCACGTGATGATTATGAAAGATTATATGCTTTAGGTAATACTATTTATGGTCAAATGACTGCTGGTAGTTATTGTTATATTGGTCCACAAGGTATTGTACATGGTACTACTCTTGTTGTTTTAAATGCAGGTAGAAAATATTTAAATTATTACATCTGGTAGGTTTTTTTTTATTTTTTTTAATTTTTTTAATTATATTTTTATTTATTTTAATATTTTTAATTTATTTTAATATTTTTAAATTTAAAAAAATAAAAAGGACTTGGTGGAATGTCAGGAGCACAACCTAAAGCAGGAGTGATTAGTGGATGTATAACAGTAGTAGCAGAAGTGAATGAATTAGCATTAAAAAAGAGATATGAACAAGGATGGTTATTAGAAAGTGTTGGTAATGATTTAGAAAAATGTATTGAAAGAATTAAACAAGCACGTTTATTAAAACAAGTAACATCAATTGGATATTTAGGAAATATAGTTGAATTATGGGAAAGATTAGCTAATGAAGATGAATTACTTGTTGAATTAGGAAGTGATCAAACATCACTTCATAATCCATATCAAGGTGGATATTATCCAGTTGGTTTAACATTTGAAGAATCAAATCAATTAATGAAAGATAATCCAAATGAATTTAAATTAAAAGTATCAGAAAGTTTAAAAAGACAAGTTAATGCTATTAACAAATTAGTTGAAAAGGGAATGAAATTTTGGGATTATGGTAATTGTTTTTTATATGAAGCTAATAGAGCAGGTGCTGATATTTGTAATCAAGATGGTAATTTTAAATATCCTTCCTATGTACAAGATATTATGGGTGATATATTTTCATTGGGTTTTGGTCCTTTTAGGTTTGTTTTATTTTTTTTATTTTTTTTAATTTTAATTTTATCAATTTATTTTATTAATTTAATTTATTTTAATATTTTAATATTTTATTAATTTAATTTTATTAATTTATTTTATTAATTTAAAAAAAAGATGGGTATGTTTATCTGGTAATGAAAAAGATTTAGAAGAAACAGATAAAATAGCAGCTCAAGTGATTGAAAGATTAATGAAAAATCCATCACTTGGTGAAAAATCACATTTACAATATCAAGATAATTATAAATGGATAGTACAAGCAATGGAAAATAAGTTAGTAGTTGGATCACAAGCAAGAATATTATATTCAGATATAGAAGGTAGAGTTGAAATAGCCTTAGCATTTAATAAGGCAATTAGAGAAGGTAAAATTAGTGGATCAATTGCATTAAGTAGAGATCATCATGATGTATCAGGTGCAGAT